TTTTTTTTTTTAATTCCTCGAATATCCTCGTCAGTTAACAGATTACGACGCAAAACCCGCTAACAGCGCATGCAAGACAGGGACGGATAGTAGACCTCGTCAAGTGCTACACTTACCCCTCGGCAAAGCGTAACACATCGGTATACCTGTATACAGCGCACGAAATGACCGTGAAGTACTTGTGCCCCGTATAATTGTATATTATACAATGACACGTACACGGAGCGACAATAGCCGTCAAGCTCCATCAAATCAATTCGGCTCGTTTCTCGAACCAAAACAAGAAACCTCACCCCTGCCCAACAAACCCCGTCGAAATCCGAAAAAAAAAAGAGCAAAAGCCCGGAAAACCCAAAGAGAGAGAGTCAATGTCACTGATCGGAACAAGAGAGAGAGATGAGCGAAACGCAACCACACGGGGTTTTATGTGCATCACAGGGGGGGGGGTGGAGGCGAGAAACACCCCGCGCCCCTACGCGTATCGCATTACCCCAGCCGGGTAAGGCTCGTTTGTCTCGCAAATCAATTACAGACCGTTTCGACGTCCACCTTACGTAGCAATACGCTATGCGTCGTATACGTATATATGTCTTTCACCCCCTGCCCCCCTATCCCCCGGCTTTGGGAGCGTGAAATTCGGGCTCGCGCGAGGATACTTTTGACATCAGCGGTAAAAGTCGAGCTGCAGTGTATAAGGTGGCACGCAACACCCCGTACATATATATACATACATTGTACACCTCGAGTTGTCTCTCTTTTCAGCGACACCCTCCCTCCCCCCTTTTTTTTCCCTACGTACGAGGTACAGGCGGGCGACGGCTGTTTGACAAATAAAAGTCGGCGCGCGTTCGCTTACGTGTATGTTACACGCACACGCGCGCGCGAGTGCCACATCCCCCGACGATATACGGCTAGTTGGGCATTAAACTCTGGTATGCCGAGTTCTCTTTTTCTCCGACAGTGTATAGGTATATGTATATGTGTGTATGGGGCGCCAGGGGGGTATATCTGAGCGCGGCGTCACGTTGCGAGGGCACACGGATGTATGTAAGGGAGAGACTTTTGGTATAAGCAATGCAAAGCATTTAGTCGGGTGGGGCTTGACGGAGAAACACGTGCGCCCTGGACGTTTGACCCGCAAGGGGTTTGTATTATATTGGCAGCGGAGCTAAGGATCGCTTTCCGTCTCCTTTTATCTTTTCTCTTTGTCTCTCATTCTTTGGTTTACACGAGACGTGGACCGATCGACGCGTCTTTTGAACGTGTATATATCGTTTGCCCGTGATATATATATTACCTTTTTGTTTTTATTCTTTCATCATTTGCATGTGTTTTCATCCCTCGTGAGTATATATTTATACATATACACCTACATCGGGTGGTTGGGTATGATAATTATTTAATATAAACAAGGTCCTGTGATTTTAAGTCACTATTACATTTTTTTTTTTTTTTTTGGCAATCTCAATTACGTTGCATTGTTCACACACATTCATACCCCTGGTGTTGTATAATTACATTTTTTAACCAGATGTTGTGCTGTACATAATTCGTCATAATTATTTTATAGTTCCTTAAATCCTATACCAGATGTAATTTTGTTTCAAAAATATTGTGCATTAATTTTTTTTATTACTACGTGATCAGCAGTTTTTCCAACAAAAAAAGTGCAACGATTTTTTAGAAGATAAGCCTGATTATAAGCCGTGCGAGTAAAAATACATTAACACTTTTTTCAAATGCTTTAAAGTAGTAATGAAAAAATCTTTTCCAGCATTCATAATACGTAGTTTTTTTTAGGAAAAATTATCGTACAAAGTATATGAAATATGTACGTGCCCAAGTCTATTATTGTTTAAAATAAAGTAACCAAGTAGCGATAATACAAATTAATTGCTATTTGTGAAAATAATTACGCAGGTATAGTTTGTCTCTTATCACGTGAGATGATATCGATTGAGGGTCTTATATAAATATACCTATACAGTATCTATACTGGCGGTATATGTTGGTATATATGGACGGGGAATCAGTGATGGGTGAAATTGTAATTGAGATGTTTTTTCCTATCACTGTACAAATTTTATTGAAACGTAATTGAAATTTAATTTACTGTCCGATATAAATGTACTATGTGTACAACATGTGAAACAATATTAATAATACTAATTTAATGTATCATACAAATTGTAAATTGAAATAACAATTTATAGTTAAAAAATAAAACACGAATTCAATTATTTTATTTTTAATTTTTTTAAATGGTTATGGTAAGGTTATTGAACAACATTTTTAATTTCGAGCACAAGTGCAATCAACATGAGCCTGTAAATGTCATAAATCGAATTTTTTTCCTCTTTTCATCATCAATTTCTCAATTGTTATAAATATCTAAAGGAATACCGTCCCCCCAAAGTAAATAATTGAACAGTCGAAAAGATGAGAAATAATAAAATATACATCAAATGACATGTGTCCTGCTATTTTTTTATTTTATTTTAACTGAAACATTAATTTTCACGATAGTAGCGCGAACTCAAATATTGTTAAATGTGTTAAATTTTATTGCATTTGCTGATTTTTCGTCCAATTTACAGCATCATAAGTGTCTTCTGAATGCATGTTTTCTTGAAGATAACAAAATAGTAATAAAATAAAAAAAAATTTGTTTTCATACATAAGGGTGAATTTAAATTCCAATGAGCTAAAATAATTTACTGCATAAAATTTTCACACATATAGCTGAATATAAATAAAAACCAATTCTTTTTCAACTGACTTTTCAAGACCAGAACATAACTTGTAATACAGAGGCTTTCACGTGGTAAAAAATGTCAACTTTTCTTGGTCTTGCAAAGTTTTAACTACAAATAACTTTTTCTTTTTTAAATGTAAGAATAGTTTTACACTATGAAATATTATTCAAAAATAAAAGAACAATTCTACTTTTAACAAAAAAAAGTTCAAAGTAAAACGTTGGACTACTGACGTTGACTGTATAGTTTGTTATAACTATTTAGTGAAGGCTTCTCTTAAATTACATGTATAAAGCTTATTATTGGGAAGCAGCATGAAAGATCTTTTCACGTAGGAAGTTTTTGATACATACGAAATATATTTTTTTAATGACTCTTTTTTTACTTGTTATTTGAGTTTTAATGCTTTCATTTAATTATGCAAATAAGCAAAAGATACATGTGTATTTTAAATAGAAAAAAAAAAAACAAATTTCAAATACTGTACCTCGTACTCTGTACAGATAAATGTTTTCATTCCGAGTGGTATAGTGAGTAAGTACGAATCACTTTAGTACACAAGGCCCACCTGTTTAATATTTTATAAAAAATGCTGCGTTGTGTATTTCATTGACTAAAAGATCCGTATACGTACGACAAAACACAAATTTGTATCTTTTATTCGTTTTTGAAACAAACACAGGGTTTTTTGACTTTGACTGCAAACTTCCACTCGTAAGATAATTATGCATAACACTCAGAAATAATAGACGTATTAACAAACAAAATTATGTATTAAACATTTATATCTTGAAAGATACAACGAAAATACATTAAAAATTTTTTTAACTGTTTTACATACCATCAAAGGTGTTTTTGTTGAATTTTTTTTTTTTGACAGAAAAAAAGTGATGTGTTAAACATTTTTTTCCGAGTAAGCGTATAGTTTTCTTCATTGATTTATCTACTTATAACTAAACGATGTTTCTAAGAACCAAGCAAAAAAAATTCAAAAAATTATAAGACTTAGTCGCTGTTAAAAAAAAAAACTTATTAAAATAAAACAACATTTTCTGTATACCCCCACCGAAAGTGCTTCATATCTGCCCTGCTCCAAAACAGATAATCAGCTCTTTCGACGAGGGAATGCAGAAAAATAGTACACACACCACGTTCGGAGGTTAACAAATGCCCTAAATTTCACCTTATCCACCCTCGCTTACTAGGTGTGTAATATACTATAATTATATCGCAATCGCATAGATACACGCCGTACCGATTCTATAACGAGAAAAAATAAATCGTGGTGGCACAATATTTCCAATATCCAATTAATTATACACTATTTGTCTGCTTTTCTGTGAAAAAACAAAAAAAACATAAGTAATTTGGGACAAAAAAACCAGTATCGATACCAAGTATAGCAAGGTACACCACGAAAATTGCGCAATCTCTTTGCACATGTATAGCCAATCGCACTTCCAAGCCTTTTTTCTCTCGCAAAAGTTGAAAAAAAAAAAAAAAAAAAAAAAAAAAAGATTAATAAATAGGAAAAAAAAAAAAAAATATATACAAACCCATAGGGGACAGCGCAGTGTCCATAGATACCTGCACACCGAGAGGACAGCCCCGGCGTATCGATTCGAGAGAGGACCTCGGCCAATACGTATGCGCGTACGCACAGGGACACCCGAGGGGCGCGCGCACCCCGGGACCGCCATTGCCACGACAAAGGCGTGTCCTTATCCCCCGGGCGTCGGCCAATCGCCGCGTCCCTCCCTCGTCTCGGACACCCCCTGCGCGCGACAGATCAACACCAGAGAAGAACCTGCACTGCGCTCGGTGCCACTCCGCTACGGACACGCTGGACACACCATCCGCTCCGTCATGTGATTTTTGCTGTGTGTGTGTGTGTGTGTGTGTTTTTTTTCCTTTCCTCCCGAATCCTCGAAACAGTGCCGTTCAAAGTTGGAAAGTGCCAAACGTGAGTCGCCCACGAGTTCCCGAGTTTTTCCAGTAGGCAAACGCCGAGCGGCCACAAGAAGAAACAACGCCGGGATGCCGAGGCGAAGCGCGCGACCGAGGAGTCCCGGCTCTTGACGAAAACGACGGGGCACACAATAACACGCATTTCCCAAAGGAAGTAAACATTTGTGGCTCGTGCGGTTCATACAAGTTTGTTGTTGTATTTGTTTTTTGTTGTTTTTTTTTTTTTTTTTTTTAAACCCCGACGCTGGCGCCGAGGCCTCCGGGGCTCGTCCCAAAATGCTCGAGCACTACACGGCCATGGTGCCGAACCCCCTGAGCTCCGCGGCCGAGGTGGCAATGGCGCCGGCCTTGCAGGCTGGCCGCTCCATCACCTTCTCACAGGCCGTCAACAATAACATTGGCGGTAAGCTCTCGGGCTCTGTACTATATTTAGTCTCTGTGTCTGTTTTTTTTTTTTTTTTCTTTTCTTTTAATGTGTTTTGTATATATTATATTTTACACGTGTGCGTAGGTTGTTTTTGAGGTGACGTTTTAGCGTTTGGTGTTTGATTTGATTTTTCTCAACCGAGACATTGCTTTGATACCCGTGGGGGTAAAGTAAGGGATGCGGGTAATTTTGTTGCGCAGCTCTTGGAGAATCGATGAGTGAAATACACACCTACGAGTAATTTTTTTATCATTAAAAAAACGGGTTTCGATCGTCAAAATCAAACGTAAGGTTTTCTCTCGCTTTCTTGAGTTTTTGAAGAATTTCTTCCTCTCGAGGATAACGGATTTCCATCCCATGGCTCAAATAGCGAGAAAAAAGGATTTTTGACAAAATTTTCTCTCCCCTTGTACGAGTGGCCGGACACTTGGCATCTCTTTTGTTCTAAAAATCGCGAAATTGTTCATCCCCCCCGAATCCTTCCATCGAGTGAAACTAGAATTCCATGGTACCGCTGTCCCACTCTCTTTCCTCCATTCAAAATCCGCGAGCCCAAAAAAAAAAAAAAAAAAAAAAAAACAAATCACACCCCAAAGCCGCAACTAAATCAGCCCAGAACGGACAGTCACGTATACATACGTAAAGCCATTCGTCCGCGACCGCGCGCATGCACATCGAAGAGTCTCCTCCTCTGCTTCTCTTCGCGGCGACACATTAGCCACATCCAAGGCTCATACGTGTATATTTTGCGTTATGTATCGTCCGGCAAAAGCTCTCGAGGGCCAACCACCCGCCGATACACTTCTCTCTTTCACCCCTTGTGTGCTACCCACGCACGCTTACGCGCCTATCGCAAAGGGAGATTACATGTATATACATGATATACAAAGAGGGCAGATGGCCGCCGCACTCGAGAGCGCGTCCTCTTTTTCGGCTTCCTTTCCGCGCCGGGGGGTGCAAAAGCCACTTGTCCTCACGCTGCGTTTTTCCATCTCCCTTGTCAACGATACGCCACGCGTGCACTCGATGCTCGTTTTTTGTGTGAACCTGTTGTGCGTGTTTTTGTTGTATACACCGCTGCTTCCGGGCCCTAGTGCTGGGACCTCTTTTGGGTCTATTTTCTTCCTGTCCATGGCTCTTCCCAAGGGTGCAGGGAAAAACGAAGAGCTCGCAACTTTTTCGCTGCTCGTACGAGTGGATATGACATACACATAGATGCATGCTTTTTTTCTTTCTTCTTTTTTTTTTTTTTTTGAAGTCATTTTACCCCGATAAATCGACGATGTAGGAGATGAGGACCAACGATTTTAGGCGTCATCAGTGCACTGTAAAGTCCAAGTGTGTTAAAGTATACGTCGAAAGAGTGTCATCGGAATTTGTAAAAAGTCGGAATTTGAACTATTTTACCTGTTATGTCAAACCAAATTGCTTTTTCCATTGACGATTGACATGAGAAGGCTGTTTACACTTGTGAGCGTGTTAAATCTGTGACAGTCAAGTTTTTTCACTCCACAGCTTTCCTACATTGATTTTTCCCATTCAAATGTGTCCAGTTAAGTGGAACTCCGTAGATTTGGCTGTCCTTAAAATTATTATCCACCCCACCACGATGTGTTTTATAAATAATAAAAATTTCAACTACACACTTTGAACGAGTACTTAAACATTCTTGGATTTACAGTGTACACTGGTATAGATAGCGCACGATAAAGAGAGAGGGAGCATGAAAACGCGCACGTGTATGGTAGATGTAACGTAGCACTAGTAAACACGAAAACAGAATCGGTAGAAAAGTATTTCCGTAAACTCCGCAGAGGGAACGATAACGGTGAAACAGGAGGCGAGTCTGTTGAACGCCGTCGGGGGCACGTCGAGCTGCGCTAGCTGCGGCCGCAGCATAGCCGATCGCTTCCTCCTGAGGGTGAACGAGCGCGACTACCACGAGAGTTGTTTGGCGTGCTCGGTGTGCGCGACCCCGTTCTCGGACACGTGTTACACCCGCGACTGCAAGTTCTACTGTCGCGAGGACTACGAGAGGATATATGGGACAAAGTGCGGCAGGTGCCAGCAAAAACTCGACAGCAACGACTTGGTCATGAGGGTGCAGACGGGTATGGTCAACGGCCGGCCCAAGGGCCCCATTTTTCACGTCGAGTGCTTCGTTTGCTGCGTGTGCAACGAGCAGCTCCTCAGGGGCGCCCACTTCATACTCAGGCACGGCCAGCCGCTCTGCAAACGGGAGTTCCAGAACGACATTTACAACATGAACAGCCCGCAAGGTATAGATTATTCTCATTGCTCTTCGTCTCGTTGTACCTTCCTTTAATTTTTATTTTTCCCCCCTCGGTGTTTTTGAGCTAAGAGGACTTTTCAAGTGGACACGTGCATGAGAAGTGTGGTGTACAAATGACAGATTTATCCGTAATCGCTAAGTATGGGATCGGTAGTACAAACGATTGTTAAATCGACTAAGGTATCGAGCAATCACTCTAGTCTGGTCTGCAACAATTTACATTTCTCGATCTTTCCCGCGTTTCGAGGATAAGAGAATTCGTGTTTAAAAAAAAAAAATAAAAAAATATCACAAAATTTCATTCACTCGACATTATGTTACTTAATCATTATGAAAACAAAAAAAAAAAAACAAAAAAAATGTTTACAGTAGCAGCTAGCCAAGATTCCGGTGGCTTAGATCAAAATGCCTGCACTAGAGCACGATGACTTCTTTCGGCACGGAAAAGTTGCAGACTAGGCGCGATGATTGCTATCAGGTACGATTTTGCATTAACGGCTCTATAACATTTATTGTTTAAAAGAATTATTGAACCCATTATAAATAAAATTTCAATTAATCGCAAAGTTTTTACAAATTGAATGCCCAAGTACGTTGCGAATGTCTTAAAATTACTACATATTGATTATTATAGAGTTTTTTCTTTCATATGGGAATATGGTTTTAATAAACATCAATCTTTTATCATTAAAAACAAAGCGAATTAAAGTAATTTGGTCAGAGTACTGGACGAAGATGAAATATAAAATTTTCTACTTTGTCTGACCAAACGTTTACTCGTACTACTGCAAAAAATAAAAATCGTTTTTATTTACGTAATTAATTAGCTTTGCGTGTATTCGCACTTTATACAACAAAAAATAAAAGTGCTCAATTATTAATTCAACTATTTACAGTGTTACATAAGTTTTTATCAAATTAATACAAATGACAGTCGAGAGTTGTTCTGCTTTTTATTTGTTTCAAGTTGGCGGAAATGAATAAATGGATATGCATGATATTCCGAATTGACGTATTTCTGTTGAGTAATTTTACTAGTTGTTAAAAAAGTAAATTTTGAAAATGTGAAGCATTACACCGATCGCGTGAGAAAACTTTTCACTGTCCGCAGTAGTGCGAGTAAACCTTTGGTCAGACAAAGTTGAAGAATTGGAATACAGTGACTTTCACGCGTGTGACGATGCTCACAAAAGTTATCATTAGAATAAAAGTATAAGCTAGTCGATTTTACGAGGTTAATAGTGGCTTGACTTATTTAAATAAATATTCTACACATGATTATGTCATTCCTACATTGTTTTCCACTAGGGCATAAAGCACATCAGTACCATGTTGTTATTTATAAATTTATTTTTATTCTCACATACTACTCATAAATATCTGGCTTTTTTTGACATTTTATCAAACTCGTTTCCCAACTAGGTATGGAAACTCTTATTTTTATATTTAAAACGAATGCGCACAATTTTTCTCGACTGAAGTTGATATCACTGTCAATTTTTTAAGATATTTAGTTGTAAAAAAAATTCGATTTTACAAGCTATTTAATTTTTAAAGCTTATATATTTATAATAATCGTCAGTTTTTATGAATATTAAGTGATAAAAAATTTAATTTTGCAATCAATATAAAAGCTATTGTTTTAAAAATTTACTTTCCTTATTAAAATCATGGATAAAAATATAACACGAAAAAACGTGTGGTACGATGATTTTTGCATTATCTCTCAACAAAGCATTGCCCATAATGACAAATACAAAAATTATTGAAAAAAAACCGATTTTTGATATTTCATTGTTTTGTTGTAAAGCCAAAATAGTGATGAAAACCGGATGATTTTCTAGATTCACGACTCCCTGCGTTTTCAAACAACAACACACGAAATTTTACATAAAAAAAAAAAAAAAAAAAAAAAAAAAAAAATCCATCGCTCACAACCCGAGTAAGCAACAATTTAACCTGCTCAGACGACGACCTGCTTGACGACAGTAGGCCGCGCGACGGTAGGCGCGGCCCAAAGCGACCACGCACGATCCTCACGTCGGTCCAGAGGCGCCAGTTCAAGGCCTCGTTCGAGGTCTCGCCCAAACCTTGTCGGAAGGTCCGAGAGGCCCTGGCCAAGGACACAGGACTCAGCGTGCGAGTCGTCCAGGTCTGGTTTCAAAATCAGCGGGCAAAGATGAAAAAGCTCCAGCGCAAGGCGAAAACGGACACCGGCACCGACAAGGACATCAAGGAGGAGAGGAAGCCTGAGAGCCCCCACAGTGATCACAGTGAGTGTCTTTTTTTTTTTTTTTATAATGCAAATTGTGTGATATCATTTGGAATTTTTAGGCCACTACATGAATGCTTTGACCATGCGAGATGGGGAATCGTCCAACTTCCCGTCGGCTACGCAACCACTCAATCCGAATAATCCATATTCACCCGATGGTACGTTGAATGAGTTTTTTTCTCAATTGTTAAAACGCATGATTGTCTTTTTCATTTTTATTAAAATAGGTACATTGACATCTAAATTAAACAAGTTGTAGTTGTTGAAAATTATTGTTGGATATTTTTACTCGTGACATTTTTTAGTTTATTGTTAAATCTTTTTTATTTTTACATTATAATTATTTAGCAGTATTGGTAGTATCATTTTTTTTTTTTTTTATATTTTAACCATGTTACCATCATAAATAAAAAAGTTTTTTTTAATTTTTCTTTTAATGTTTTTTAAAATTTTTGCACATAAACAAACCATGTTATACTTATGCAACATATCTTTATAAACCGATAAAAAATTTTGAAAAAAAAAACAGTGATAATAAAGTTTTGATAATTTTTTCCACTGCATATTTTATCTTAAAAGTTCTCTTAGGAGATTAAAATGCGTGAAAGTAACATTTTTCTGCAAATATTGATGAAAAAGGCGAACTGGCGAAATAATTCCACTTCTGTCGATTCACTCCACACGAAATTAAATTAAAAAAAAAAATTACTAAAATATTTGAGCTTTTAATTTGTACTTGCTCAATCAAAAATTACTATTTGGATCAAAGGTAACAAGCAAATAATTTAATTTTAATGAAAATTCACAAATGACAAGAGTGAGCTTTGTGATCGCATGTAATTTTCCGGTGTTTTTTTTTAACTTCTTACTCGACTAATTTAATTTCGAATCTCTTTTGAAACGAAGCACGTTTTTATTTATCATATATTTGATCGACCTGAGCTGGAAATAATATGATAAAGACTTTTTTTTCAATTTTTGTAAAATTAGTTTGAAAAATTTCACAATAGTAGAATAAAATGACCCATAAGCTTTCTCGTGGGACAAAAATTTTGTTTATTTATTACAACTTTTTTAAATAAAATTTAACGGCTGATTAGAATTTTTCTAGCCCGTATGTACGTGTACCTATATTTTATACATTTTTTTTATGCTCTGTGTCAAATTAGTGCAATTTTAATGATCAAACTTGATGTAGTTGCATCAATTATGTTAATACGTACAATAATACGTTAATACGTACGGCTGCAATCATAGATTAAAATTAATATTGGAGCTCAATACATATTTTTTTTTTTTTAATTTTGCTGAAACAATAAACGTTACAGTCCTCTCTAACAATCCAATAACTCGTGGCAATGTGCGAACGTCGAATTCTAACATCAAACAGAACGAACGTGGTTAACAAAACTCAGTTATTGAGACATGTAAGAAACCTCCTATATAAGCCACTACATTTTACGCTGAACACCCCCTAGCGTTGCATCCCCTTGTGCGATACATCAGTACTCTTTCTTATCAACCATCAGTCCGAAAAATGTTTTTTTCACCACCAGCAGATATATATCTACTTAAATTCAAATCGTGATCACACAAAAAAAAAAAAAAAAAAATCGGCTCATCATGTACATTTTCGGCTTGCAGATGCGTACCCGGGTCACTCGGGGGAGAGCTTCTGCAGCAGCGACATATCGATCGACGGCACGGAGGCGGGCTTCGACCTCGGCGAGAGCGAGAGCGGCCCCATCGACGGAGCCACGAGCTCGCACTCCCACCACTCGGGGGTCGGACCCCAGGGTGGGCCCGACCTCCAGTCGCTCAGCCAGGGTCTTCACGCCGCGGTGCACAACCCCATCGACAAGCTCTTCATGATGCAGACCAGCTATTTCAGCAGCTCCGATCACCCGTAGATCGTGGGTCAATGTGTATCTGCCCACGATGGAATTGTCGTCATCTTTTTTTCTTCGGCGAAAAGAAGTATAAATGTCTTGGATTCGATGAGCACTTGGGACAAAAATTACACCGAGCAATTCTATAAATCAAATCGAGAGACCCACATTCATTTATATTATGTACAATAATTATTGAGCGGAAGGTTTTTTAAACGTCACCGACCGATTTTCCGAAAAGGTACGTTTACCAGTCGTTTCGATGAATATAAATTAATTTTCAACTCCTGTGTTGCGGATATCACACTTTCATAACGAATGTATATTTAAACATTCGTATAGTGATGGGTTTTCAGTATTGTTCGTTACTCGTACGTGTATCGTTTGGAATGGTAATTTTTCTAACGCAAAATAAAAATAGCTGGTTTATATTGTGAGTTTGAGGATTCTGGAAACATACGTACTTACAAAAAATGAAATTCAGTAGTTCAAAAAAAAAATTGTTAAACTATTATTTATTGTGAAAAAAAAAAAAAAATTAATCGCACAAGTTGTATCTAACGGAATCCTTAAACGCTACAGAAATATGTATAAAAAAAAAAAAAAAAAAAAAATTATCATATAAAAACATCAAAGAAAGTGTTTTAAAAATAGCTTTATATATAGTAGATTAAGCGCGCCTACGATAATAAGCACGAATTGATTTTTTCTTAATCCTCATTATGCCGCTGTGTTGCTATCCGAATATCAATAATTAAATACCTACAACAGTATTATCGTCATTGTCAATAAATATGTCCTCGATGAATAGCCAGTGTGGTATGGAAAAATAATTAACTCACAATTCAAATTTTGTTGATCAAAGAAAAAAAACGAATGTCGACCAAGTAAAGTGCGAACTCATTTATTTTACAAATAATTGCGCTTCGATTTATACAGACAACATTAGAATACAATGTTTTGAATTTCCTAGTTGAAAAAAAAAATTTAATTTCCTTGTTTTTTTTTATTGCTATAACGATAAGTACATAAATATATTAAATATCA